TAAGCTACCTTGTTTGGGGATAGTTTAGTGCATCATAACACATAATTAATACACTCATGATAAGTAAATTATTCGACATACACACTGTCTCCTCTTACTCATTACCCATTCACTTCTCAACCAACTACAGTCTGGCTTCTGTTCTTGCCACACAGGAACTGCTCTCATCAAGATCATCAGAGATCTTTGTGCTGCCAAATCCAATTACATCTCTCTCCACTTTCATCTCACTTGACTTCTTAGCAGCATTTGGCATGCTCTCCTCTTCCTTCCTTCTTGAAACACGCTTCTGACTTGGCTTTTGCAATACTATTCTCCTCTTTCTTCCCTCATTATCCCTTTTTTGACTCCTTTGCTGTTTCCTTTACCTCATCCAAATAGAAATGTAATGGTTCTTGAGGGCCAAAATTGGGTGCTTTCCCCTTTCCTCTCTCCCTTTCATTCCAATGGGTTTACATACCGCCTGTATATAATTTGGATTACTCCAAAATGAAGTGTATCTTTCAAATATTTTTATATAAATACAGGCAGATACATATTCTTGTTTTTCCCCTTTACTTCACAAAAGGTAGCAGACTATACACCGTTCTGCACATTTCTTTTTTTCAAATGTTCTAAAATCCATATTCTCTTTTTTTTGAAATATCTTTATTGAGATATAACCACATTCTCTTTTGTGATTTGTTGCTCTCTCCCTCTATCACTCCTGGTCAAGATTCACTAATATGAATGATCTTTTTAAATTAAAAATTGTATGATAATAAACATGATGAAAATACATGGTTTAAAATGTTCAGACATCATGAGCCTTACAAAACAAAAGCAAAGTCTCCTTCCAAGATCACTGACCTCCCCAATCTCCATGACCCCAATCTCATGTATCGACTCTTCAGTTTGTGTCATAGACTGTTTCTATGCATATCATACACATGCAAAACATAGAATTCCTCTAATTTTTCCACCATAGGATGATATGTATGTACATTCTGCATCCCCCTGAATGGCACTTTGATTATCCATGGTGTTGGATTAACTAGATCTATGTACTGCACTTATTGTTTAGACATACATGCTTCCATTCAGTCCTATTAGCTCTTTGAGGAGCCCCACTGTATACGTAAGAAAAGTCCAGAGGGAATAGGTGATTTCTAAAGACTAAAGAGTCATTTCCACACAGAATTGGGACTTGACCTCAGGACTTTTGAATTCATTTGTCCTGCTCTTTCAATGACAGTGAGTCCCTTTTTATGACACTGATGTACTCAGTGGTCTCTGCACCAAGCCAATTTGGCCTCTTGACAGGGTTTGAGTGACCATTACACTCAAAGATTAGCCTTTAAAGATTAGATATGGATGAGGGGCTATGGGTCCCTTTCCCCACAATCTCACTGCCAGGCAGTATGTTTCGATAAACACAAAGCTCAAACTCAAATCTGTCATACACAAATGTTTATTACCAAGGAGGCATGAAAATCATCCTGTGATCCGTTGTTCTGTAAAGTCAGTGAAGTCCCAGCTCTGTCCTGTGTATTTCAACAAGCACGTGACAGAAAGTTTCAGTCTGAGACAAAGTTCTGAAGGGAGGATTCAGCTCACTTCAGATCAGAAAGCAGAATCTTCCTTGGTCAATAGTGTGGACACAGCATACAACAGTGTTCTAGAGCTGGTGCTATGGTCTGAACATTTTGTCCCACCCCAGATTCATATGTTGAAATCCTAACCTCCAAGGTGATGGTATTAGGAGGTGGGGACCTTCAGAGGTGATTAGCTTATGAGGGTGGAGCGCTCATGAGTGGCACTAGTGCCTTTTTAAAAATATATATTTATTTATTATTTTTGGCTGTGTTGGGTCTTCGTTTCTGTGCGAGGGCTTTCTCTAGTTGCGGCGAGCAGGGGCCACTCTTCATCGCGGTGTGCGGGCCTCTCACTATCGCGGCCTCTCCCGTTGCCGAGCACAGGCTTCAGACGCGCAGGCTTAGTAGCTGTGGTTCACGGGCCTAGTTGCTCTGCGGCATGTGGGATCTTCCCGGACCGAGGCATGAACCTGCGTCCCCTGCATCGGCAGGCGGACTCTCAACCACTGTGCCACCAGGGAAGCCCACTAGTGCCCTTTTAAGAGACCCTACAGAACTCCCTTGTTTCTTCCACTATTTAAGACACAGCAAAAAGACAACAGTCTAGGAAGCAGTTTCTCACTTGACACTGAATCTGCTGGCAGCTTGATCTTGGACTGCCCAGCCTCCAGAATGTGAGAAATAAATGTTTCTTGTTTCTAAACCACTCAGTTTATAGGTTTTTTGTTATAGCAGCCTGAATGGACTAAGACAGCCAAGAACCCACTTCACTGGTTTGAGTATGCTGGCTTCCTTGTTCTTGTTCTTACTCTAGGCAGAGCTGGAGCTGCTTAGATTGATACAATATGTCTTGCTAATCCACATATTTTGGACAAAACTAGCTTTACCTTGAATAATTATCTCTAATATCTCTTGAGCTAATGAGTGAACTCTCCAGGTGCAGATTTTGATGGTGACACGTGATATGGTGATCTCCAAAGTTTGGACTTCTTTAATGCTAACTAACCAAGCTAGGGGTTTGAATCACTGATTATGGTATTCAGATGGTAACTATCCACCTTTAAGGTTTAAAGTCAATACACACACACACACACACACACACACACACACACACACACACTCCTCTGCCTAACGTGAAGAAATTTAAAACAAATTATAGATGACACAGCACCTGCAATCAATTGCCCAAGAATATATCCTTTTTCTTACCCTCTTCTTAATGCTATGCTGGGAGGAAGCAAACACAGTGAAATAGGAACAAGTACTCTAGGGTCAGTAGATCTCAAACCAAATGGAATTTCTGACACTTCTTAGTTATGTAACCTTATTTATGTTATCACGTAACCTCTCTAAGCCTCACTTTCCTTATCTGTAAAATGAGGATAATAAGAAGTAATATGATAAAGCATGCAAAATGCTTAGTACATAGGAACAATTACTACTATTTCATCATCCTTTCTTTTTATTCTTCCAATATTTACTTCTCCCAAGTCCATATCTTGCATCCACCCATCTAATCAATTTTTAGAGACTAACTATTAAGTGCAAAGTCCTGTGGCTGGCACTGGAAGACCCAGTGATCAATGGGATGGGGGGTCTCTCCCTACAATTAACCTACACTCTCAGGTGGAGGAGGTTCAGATTTAAATGATGGTTAATGCTTATTGGCTTCTTACAATGTACCAAGCACAGTGGTGAGCACTTTGCACTCATCATAACATTTGATTTTAAGCCATGTATAAGGCAGACATTCTTTTACAAAATAGGAATCTGCAGGGCAGGAAAGCTGAGCACCTTATCCAAGCTGGATATAACCCAGGTAGCCTGAGCCTTAAACTCTGGACACACGCCTGCACCACGCCTCCTGGCCCCTCAGCTTTGGGAGCACTCCTCTCTTCTTCATATCTCTCCTCCTACGTCCTCATGGAAACAGCATTCGATTCCTCCTCTGCTTGAACTCTTTTAAAATTAATCTTAGAAATAATGATCTTATCAGTACAACCCCAGATGTTACAGTGTTCCTCTAGTAGCCCTTCTTCCACAGCACAGTTAAGGAAGGGCACAGGGTCTGGAGCCGGATTGCCTGACTCTGCCACTCTCCAGCTGTGTGACCTAGGGCAAGTTACACAGCTACCCTGTGCCTTGGTTTTCTCACCTATAAAATTGGGATGTTACCTACCTCAGAGAAGAACCGAGAATCAAAAGTAGGCAAAGTTCTAAGCACAATCCAAGGCACATAGTGGGTGCTGCATAAATGGAAGGCTTTATTATCCTACAGTAATTATGTATTCAGACTATATTCATGTATCCCACAGGTCAGAAACCTCATTTTCTTTCCTTAATATCTCCAGTTCTGTATTCTCTCAAACACATTTACTCAGTTAAACTCAACAGAACTAGTACTATTTCTTTCTGTTGGTAAATAAAAACAGATCATGCTTGAAGATGATACTTTGCTCTGCCCAAACTCAAGTCTTCCTCACCTTCCGCCCCTCTCCCTCCAACCTGGTCGTCATCATGAGCAGGGGAAGTGCATTCTTTGCTTGGCAGGATCTGAAGACCCAAAAGAAAGAAGGATCTAGGAGTCTTTTGAAAGTGTAACCTGCCAAACAAACTATGTTTCCCTTCCCCCCATTCTGCTCATCTTGTTACCTATTCTATTTATTTCTTTTCCTTCACTTCTCCCGACTTTTCTTTATCCCAAACGTTGGGGGACGGTTGCTGATATTAACAAATCCACCCAGTCAACAGACTGAACTGGGTACCCACCACGTTCAGCATTCAGAGGCAGGCCATGAAGCCAGGAGATAAGGTCCTGTGCTCCAAATCTTGGAGAAGAGTGATGTAAAGCTCTTCGCTTCGATTATCTTCCGTTTATCCCTGCTCCCTGTGCCGAGGGATCAATTCGCCGTCTCATATTACTCCTTGCCTTCCACAAACGCAAAGTTTCGAGCTCTGAACTCTAGCTCCCCGCGCTCCCCCGCCCCTCCAGTTTCCACTTCAGGCCACACGAGGAGATGAGGTAGAGCTCCGCAGCTTTGGGCAGCAAACCGCCTCCTCTATCGTCCCAGCAACCGGTGGGATCTTGCCAAAGCTGCCAAGAGAACACCAGACCTTCACTCAGGGCTACGGCTCCCGTCTCTGTACTTTGAGCCTTGAAGAATAAAAGAATCCCGCGAGTAAAGGTTTCCTTGAACCTCGAGCATAAAGGTAGCTTTGATTCACGCGGATAAAGGTGGCCTTGAACCAGGAGCGGCGCGGCGCGGCGCGGCGCGGCGGGGCGGGGCGGGACAACGTGACTTTAGCCCAGCGCCCGGGCAGCGCACCAGCCCGGGAGGAAACGACGAGCGGGGTGGGCACCAGCAGGGGCGGGGCAGGCGCCAGCCCGCAGCGCCTCCCCAGCGCCTGTGCTCGCGCATCGCGCCCCAAGACCATGGGGAAGCTGGTGGCGCTTACCCTGCTGGGCGCCGGCCTGGCCCTAATCGGGGAGAGGTTAATGACGCTTAGGTGAGTTGGCATCTTGATGGGAGCGTCCTCGGCTCCTATTCTCTTCTTCCAAGTTAGGTTAAGGGCTGCCCGGTGCCGCCTTCCTATAGCGGGTAAGAATGAGCAGTTTGGGACCCCATTCCTCAATCCCACCTAGCAAAGTGTCCCTTGAGAAGCGCACATAGAGTGAGCTGACTTCTTGCCTTTCCTAAGATGGTGGGGCAGAAATGCCGCCCCCCACCCGCCCCTTTCCCAGGTCGCCCTTAGCATTCAGCTCCTGAACAAACTATTTTGGAAGTGCTGAACTTGGGGTAGGAAGCCAGGCAGGCTACCAGCTGAATGGTTTTTGGCTGACTCTAGAGGTTGCCCAAGGCAAGTTCCACACTGAGGAGTACTGGGTTACCAACTCATCCCAGATTAAAAGAGCTAGGTGGACAGCAGGGAAATGAGCCAAAACCTGCAGGGGGAACCTGGCATTTTGTAGGTATCTGACCTTTTGAAGTGGAAGATCTGGTGATAGCCATCCCAGAAACATCTCAGGAAAAGTTAATACTGGGCTGGTAAGAAGAAACGTTAGGTGATGATGTGCATTTCTGAGTGGATCTATTAGCCTCTACTTGCCTTCAGTTGTCTTTGGGATGTTTTTATTTATTTCTCTAGGTAGAAACTGGGTGTCTCCTGAGAAGTTCACGTCTAGAATCTACTGAGGAGCCTAATGCCTTTTTTTCCCCTCTTAATTTACTTATTTATTTATTTATTTTTGGCTGCATTGGGTCTTCTCGCTGCTGCGCGGGCTTTCTCTAGTTGCGGAGAGTGGGGACTACTGTTTGCTGCTGTGGGCAGGCTTCTCCTTGCGGTGGCTTCTCTTGTTGCAGAGCAACAGGCTCTAGGCATGCCAGCTTCAGTAGTTATGGCACGCAGGCTCAGTAGTTGTGGCTCATGGGCTCTAGAGCACAGGCTCAGTAATTGTGGCACAGGGGCTTAGTTGCTCTGCGGCATGTGGGATCTTCCCTGACCAGGGCTCGAACCCATGTGCCCTGCATTGGCAAGCGGATTCTTAACCACTGCGAATTCCCGAGCCTAATGCCTTTTGATAATACTTTCTAGTTCAGCTTGAAAGAGTTTATTGTTACATTTGCTCCCAATGCACCCAAGTGAGAGAATCATAAAAAAAATAATAATAATTATAAAGCTGATCTAAGGAGTATTTTTTTTAAAGTGACAGTAGGATAAGTCTAAGTGTAGAGTCTTCGTGAATACGATTTAATAAAAATGTAAAATTATTCCTGGTATTTAGAAGAATGTTTCACTGTGGAAACAAAAACACTATTCAGAAATAGTTTGGCCAATTGTTTAAATTGTGGTCAGTTTAATGAATTTAAATACTTGCAAAGTAAATTAGCATAAAATTTTTAAAATAATAAAGTTAAAGCAAAAGTTACAGGGTTTAGCTATTAAAATACCCTGTTGAATTTGGGAAAGCAGTAGGGGGCACAGGGATCAAAAGGCAAAACTATAGGGGGTTAAGGGAACCAAAGTGCAGATTTATAATAGGCAATACTTTAGCACATTAAATAATATTATTTTGTGCATTTAAATTAATAATATTTATTTACTATTAAATAAGTAATATAGGCACATTACCCAGATAATGTCCACATTATATAAATAAATAAAAGAAGATGTTTACTTATTTGTGATATCATCCATAAATGATGAGAAAGAGAGTTAAGGAATATGAAGGTGATTAAAGACCATGTTTAGACATTGATTTTGGATGTTGTGCATTGACCTCCAGTGTTTTTATCTTCTGCAGAGAAAGAACTAATGCATATCGAGAAGTGGAGCCAGTAGAACCCCAGAACTGCCACCTTATTGAGGGAGTTGGTATGTATGTGACAGTACAATTTCTTGGTACCATCCACCTGACAGAGGCTGCCAGCTAATTTAATTTGCTGCTACTTCTTAAACCCTCCTATTGAGGCTGCAGCCTCATCAGCTTTTCCCAAGGTACCTCATCCCACATCTCCAAGAGGTCTCCTAAATGTCAAAATCTGTGGCTTTTTCTCAGTCCTCTTTCTTACTGACATCTCTCAATCATTTGAAAAATGTTATTGACTACTCTTTGGTTGGTCCCTCGCTGAACTGTGCTCCTGTCCCTTCTGTGAAATTTCACTTCCTTCTCTGTCTTCTTCTGTTGCCTATCTTACTTCATTTTTTTCTTCTCCCCTCTCCTTGATGATATTCCTAACTTCAAGTGTCACTTCCTTCAAAATTTATCTGCAAGTACTAAGAGGAATATGACTTAGCCCTTATTCTCAAGAACCTCACAACCGACTGAGTTTTTTTTTTTTTTTTTTTTAATTAATTGAAAATCCGTAGCTGGATCCCTAATCACTCAAACTGCAGGCCTTCTTTTCCCGTCTGAAATCTACTTTACCTTTCTGTCATTTCCTCCCTCATACCCCCACCTATAACCAGCTCTTCTTCTAGACTTCTCCTAAGCATGGTACCCGCATTGTCAAAGAGACTCAGTTCAACCATTTGTTGTCCCCTCATCCCTCACTGTTTCACATGAGATATGTTGGCCTCTCCTGGGCCGCCACACAGAGCTGATCTCATTTACTCCTTACTGCCTCAACTGCTTATTCTGGCTCCAAGTCTTTCACTCTCCCTGACAATACTACTAGAAAAACAAAATTCTAGCTAGATTCTGTTCACTGTTCTGGGAATGTGTTCTTTCATTTTCTCACCTTTGCTCATGAAATTACCCCCAATGATTTCTTCATCTCTGCTGGCTGAAATCAGCTGGAAACTCCTCTCGTACCTCTGAACTCTCACAGCACTCTGAAACTTTGATCCACTTGTAACACCTACTACATGCTTTATTTTAGAGCCAGCAGTGTTCTTTCTTTCTCTCACAATCAGACTGTAAACCTCCTAGGGTCAGGGACTGTGATTTATTTCAGTATGTGACAGGATGAAAGCACAGTTTATTGTGACATAAGAGATATATATATATATATATTATATATATATTATATAGCTCTCCAAGATATGTTACTAATATATATATCTATATATTTTTTCTGATATACATATATATCAGAAAAAATAAGAGCCCTTTTGATTTTAGTTTTCTGTCTTTTTTCCCTCTCAACTTCTAAAAAAAGAAGAGAAGGATCCTGGTCCTTGTGCTCACTAGTCTTAGATGAGGTCTGTGCTGCCAGCTAGAAAGCAGAATGAACTGATGACAAACTACTTTCTGAGTTTGGTTTTTAAAAACCTGAGCTCCTTCAAGGGATTCTGATGGAGATGGGAGAAGAATATGTGGGTTTTTTGAATAACAGGGACCTTTGCTCCATTCTGGGGGAAGATCAAGACCCAGGAAGGAATGGTTAGAAAGTATCTTTAGGGATGCTGGATCCTTTATACCGTGTGTCACAGCCAGAGCAAAGGTTATATGTGCACACACGCAGGACGTGGAAGTGGCAAAATTGTCTAAGTTAAAGGGACCACATGGGCTCGGCAGTGAGTAATTCAGTGGTGACTAGTGTAGAGTAAAGGCCAGATGGACTTTCCCAAATATTCAGCTTCGTTTTAAAATTCACCACCTATGGTATCTGCACAGCCCTGGCAGAGAGACTCAGGTTGAATTTCCCTCCAGTTTAGTGGAACATGGGCTCAGGGTCAGATTTAATTTGATTTAAAAAATAAGGAAATATAACATTTAATCATTTGTTCACCGTCTTGTGGAGTAATATTCATATTGACTACACATATATCTCTCAAAAGATAAGAGCCCTGCCAAGTAATTTAGAGGGGTAATTAGACTAGATCATTTCTAATATCTAGTCCAACTCTCAGATTGTATGATTCAAACAGACTTGAGAAGTTAAAACTAGAGCAGAAGAAAAAACTGTCTTGTCACTTCTCATGTCTGTTGGCATGTGTACATTTTATATTTGTAGAACTAAACAAGTGAGGATCATGGGTCATTTGTCAGTAGGACAATATTGCTATATATCTAAAAATAATAATACTGCCTTATCAAAGGCCTAGTGTCTATGAGCTTTCTGCTGGGTCCTTTGGAAATGTTTACATCATCCTCACAACCACCCTATAAGGTGGGTGCTGCCATCTGTCTTTGTAGATTAGGAAACTGACACCCAGAAGAATGAAGTTACTTGCTCAGTGGTCCAGAACTAGAGGGTGACAGGCCTAGATTATGAGCCAGGGCAGTTTTCTTCTATGCCTTTGTACTCTCTGTTGTGTAACACTGCCTTTCTTATCTACTGACAGCACATTTTTATTATGAAGCTTCAGGGAAGTATGATAGCAGCAGAAAACAGAAAATCTGAGGTGCAAAAAGGTGAAATATTAATAAATAGAGCTGACCAAGACAAGGCAGGCTAGATATTGAAATAAAGCTCACTAATAAGATAATACTCAAAGACCCAACTATTCCAGAGTGAAAAGCTTTATGAAACAATGGAAAACACTAAAGGATTGAAGGCAGGGTGTGGTAGGTAGGCAGTAACAGAGCTGGAGAAAAATTCTGATTTGTGTTTTCTTCAAGACCTAGAGTTTTGTGGTTAATTTTATTGGCAAACAAACTCTTCCTCTTTTTGTTTTCCTTCCCCAGTATTCTTTCTGGGAAGAAAGTTTGAAAGGTGAAATAATTCTAACCTCCAAAAACCATACCTCAAAGTTCTTTTTGTGTTAAGTTCATCCTTTTTCCAAGGCTTTGAGGCTAGAGGATTGTCTTAACTAGGACGTTGTTTGTTTGATCAAAGCTGCACTTGAAATATGAATAGCTTTATCAGCTTGCCCTTGGCAGGATTATCAAGTAGACAGACAGCCATTGTATGTGGTGTCTTCCTATCTTCCCCTCCAACCCTTTTCCCTCCTATAGCTTCCAGCTTCTCCAAGATATGTTTCTACTCCACGGTAGGTTCCATTTGTTTTCTTAGCTGGCTTTCAGAACCTTCTCTCCAAGATGTGAAATGAGGATAATATTACTTGATAGTAATTTGGTGTGACATTCTTTCAGGATGTCTGTAGAGAACTATTGGAGGCCAAAGAAATGAAGTTATGCCAACTAGTAGGGTTGACAGATTAAAAGGCAGTAGATATCTATTTGTAAGCCTTGTTTTAGACTTAGCAGTGGGGTTTTAAGGTTAGTTGTGCACAGGTTAACGAGTATGTGGAGGGGACTCAGGGGCGGGTTCCTGGGGACTCTTACTCCCACAGGTGTCACTGTTTCTGAGATGCACTGGGCCATCATGCAGGTGCAGTGTAGGTGGGGGAGGAGGGCAAAGGAAGGTCAGGAATAAAGTGCAGTCAGCTACTAATTCTTTTCCACATCTGAGTGCAAAGCACCAGCTTCCCTATTCTCTGGGTAGAGCAAGTAAAGACAAGCATAGTCCCTTTGGAAAATGCCCACTCCTATTGCAGGTGAATTACTGAAGTAGGTTAATGCTATCATGGGAGATTTGCGACATGGTGTATGGAAGATAAAAAGACCAAACCAGAGAGTATACAACTCAGGACATCTTCTACTCAGAAATTAACACACACTTGTCAATAATTTAACCTCAAGACAAGACAAAGTTCAAGAAACTAAAGCAGTTTATCTTTTTTAGTTAGCCCACCAGCTTTTACTGAAAGCTTTTACAGTGAAAAGGCAGGTATTATATTGGGTGCAAGCATACCGTACTGAATAAAACCTGGTCCTTGTTTCCAGGAAGCTTACTTTCTAGTAGGACATTAACGAATGCAGGAGGTTGCAGCCCAAGTGTGGAAAATGTCATGGTGGATGCAGTCACAGGTGACTGTATTAGTACATAAAATGGAAGCTGGAGCCAAGAGAGGTTGAAAAGGCTGAGAGGGTAGCATCCAACTCATCTTTAAGAGCCCGTGATACTTAGCCAAGTGGAAGTGAGGGTGGTGTGGGAAAGGTGTGGGTTGCCAAGAAGAATGAAGCAGCATATGCTCAGGCATGTAGGTGAATAAGTCTGGCGCATTTTAGGAACTGCCGACAGAAGTACTGCAGCACACCTGGAATGGAGAGTGAAGAGTGGGAGCCACAAGAATTGAGACCAGAGCCTCAATTCTGTGGAGAATTTGGGATTTATACTGCCAGCCCTAGGGGACCATTGGCGGGTTTTAAGCAGGGGCATAACAAGGTCAACTTTGCAATTTAAAAAGATGACTGTCAACAGTGCAGAGAATGGTTGTAGGGGAGCAAAGCTGACCCATTTGGAAGCTATTATAGAAATCCAGGAGGGAGTTCTAGAGCTTGAAAGACTTGTGATTAGTTAGATTTGGGGAGTAAGGAAAAGGAAAGCATCAAAGATAACTCCAAGGTTCCTACTTTGTGTACTTGGGGGATAGAAGTGTCATCCACAGAAACTGAAATATAGAAAATGGAGCAGATTCAAGAGGGAAATTTCCAGGTCAGTTTGAGACATGTTGAGTATGAGAAATGAAAAGGCCAGGTAGAAATGTCCAATATACAGGTGAATACAGAGGCCTGGAAATTGGGCTTGATTTAGAGATTGGAGAATCAAGAGCATGTGAGTGGAAGCTGAAGCCATGGGGCTAGAGTCAATGATGCAGGTAGGATGAGTACTCTGCCCCTAGAAATAGCCAAGGGCAGGTAGAGCCTGGGGAGTATCCACATCCAGGATGGAGGTGGGAAGGAGATCGGGCAAAAGGAAACCAAGAAGTGATTGTTTAGAGAAAAAAAAGTGAGAGAAAAAAGTTTGTTCAAAAACTAACCCACCCATATTCAACATGATTTTTAAAATTGCTTTATTCATTTTGCTGGATTCTCCCAAAGTCTATTTTACTCCATGTAGAAAAAGCACTAAATCTTTCAGGCC